TGCCCCTGGTGGAGTCAACCCTCCTCATTCTCACCCTCGATCAACTGAGTCAGGAATTGTCATTAAGGGGAAGCTCCTGGTAGGTTTTGTGGCTACTGATAACAAGTTTTACTCCAAAGTCCTCACTCGGGGGCAGATGTTTGTGATTCCTCGAGGTCTTGTGCATTTCCAGCAGAATGTTGGAAAAGGGAAGGCACTCGCCTTTACAGCTTTCAACAGTCAATTGCCTGGTGCTGTGGTGCTTCCCAAAACCATCTTTGCTGCAAATCCTTCAATTCCTGAGGAAGTCCTCACCAAATCATTCAAAGTAGAAGCTGATGTTATCAAATCTATAAGATCCAAACTTAGCAGTTAAGAAAAAGCTTGCAATAATTCTTCAGAATGCTTCTTGTTCTCCATCATCCATATCTCTGTTTTTCATTTTTCTTTATTTTTTCTGTCAAAATTACCATCATGTATTAGTTAATTCTTCTGTAATCCTACTTTTATTATTTCAATAATAATTTCATTTGTTTGGCAAAAAATTGGTTTCTGTGGCATCCAACTAACTTGTGAAGGGCATATAAGTAGTCCCATCATAAATCAGAAGATATTAATGAAAAAAGGCTGAATTCTGACTTCATACTGAATAATGAGTTAGTTTAATTATCTTCTACCAGAATGTCCCAATGGGTCTCTTTGGAGGTATGAAGTTCGAATATGAGACATCACGGGAATTTGGGAAAGATGAGGATTATCTTTGTTTTTTGGTTTTTTAACCAAAGAACAAAAATGATTATCTTTGTTAGTATAACGTATCATTGTATGTACCAAAGAATTCTTCCTCCGTTTAGCACTTACAAAACAGAAAAGAGTTTGATAGCAGTAGCATCAACACTCTGGCTCTCAATAACATGCTAAAGGACCAGATCAGCAGGTTAGGGGGAATAATCGTAATAACATGCTAAAGGACCAGATCAGCAGGTTGGGGGAAAAAATCGTAAAAAAAAATGTTGCTGATATTTGTAGATTTGTCTTCCGTACATTCCAAAGAAAAGTAAGACTTGTGCTTATAGAGACAAAGGCAGATCATGTAAACACCACGATAGCAGGAGTGGCTGGGTGCTGAAATTTGACAAATTAAAAGAAAATTTGGGATTATAATATAAATCTTGGACAAAGATAATGAATAAATAACATTTAAAAGAGGTCAAGATTTGAATTAACCGCAGTTGGCAGCTTTAAGGTAACTTCTGAAGTTTGATTTCTTGAGCTGGGGATCAACCATGGCATAAGCATTCAAACAGAAGCCTCCTGGCTGGCCGCCTTCTCTGTCTTTGATTGAGTTTGGAAGCATTGAAATGAAAGGGTCTTGGATACAATTAAGCTTCTAGAAATTTCAGTACTCAAATTTCAAACATATATCTTCGAGGAAGGCTGAAATTGAAAAGTTCAGGTAATGTGAAGAGTCCTGCTTTTTTGTTTGGAATCCAGCCATATTTCTCCTGTAATAACTACTAACATATTGAAAATAAACTACCATTGCCATTTTTGTCAAATATTATAACTATATGATTTTTAATTTTTCATCTTCTTTGCACTTATTGTCAAAAGTAGAATTAAGATAAAGACATTACAACTGTACTTATTTAAAGCTCTATATTAAACCAAAAGAGATCACTACGGTAAGTTTCGAATTTGAAGATTATTTCTTCACCATTCTCACTGACTGTAGCTGTAAGGTGTAGAAGAGGGCTGATATTGTAGAGAGCACTGGACTAAGGAATATCAAAAATATCATGTGAATAGATGCATATCTCAT